CTTCTCCAGGTATCAGGTTGAACCACAAGAAACTGCCATTTTATATATAAAAAAGTAATGGAATTTCAACATTTCATATAATGCAGACTGATATGCTAGTTGTGACATTTTTCTTTCTTCTTTTTGGTCTGTTTAACCACAGTATACTTTTTTTTTTTTTTTTTTGCATTAACAAATGTTTATTGAGTCTTTATGTTAGGAACTGGGACGTTACCAGCGATATATCTTCTTCTCTTAAGCACCTTTACAGTCCTTTTGAAAGGATAAGCAACTAAAACATCAATTAACCCTACCTACCAAGGCTTTGTGAGCAGTTTGATTTCCTTTGATTAGCATGAGCTCAATCTGCTGACAGCACACCCAAGTTTTCTAGACTTCCTCTGGAGGAGTGTACTTCCTGGAAGTGGTATTTCCCCAGGTTTTCCAGGTATTGAGGTCACCTTGAGCATATGGATTTCAGACCCATCCCATGGAAATTTCTGACTCCGTAGGTCTTATAATGGAGAGGGTGCTGGGCCATGGAGTCTGACCACAGTATGCTCTTAAGGGAACAAAATTTGTTGGAAGAAAAGATGTTATCTGTGGTAAATAAGGCAAAACAGTATGCAGTGAATTTGGATGGCATAATAATTTATAAAATAGATAACTGCTTATATTTAAAATGACAAATTTAAGGTAAAACTATAATTATTTCTATTACATTTAATTATTGTTTCTACTATTAATTTTTTAATTGTAAAGTACAGTAATTATAGTCAATTTATAAAAAGCCAATTCAGGGATACCTTGGCTGGCTTAGTTGGTAGAGCATGTGAATCTCGATCTTGGGGTTGTGGGTTCAAGACCCATGGTGGGTGTAGAGTTCACTTAATAAAATCTTAAACTTTTTAAAATTAAATAAAAAGCTACTTCTAAGCAGTTTGACCACAAGGCAATGTTGATTTATTAACTATTCTCATTTTATTTAAGTAATCTTAAGATTAAATGTTAACATATTTAATGCCAATACAAGTATTATTTATCAAATAAGCTCTTTCTTAGCATTTAAGACCTGATAGTCCCGTGCTGGGTACTTTGCAGAATTCGAAGAAAGCAGGAGACAAGTTCCTATTTTAAATAAATATATATCCCTTAATGGAAATAACAACAAAAAAAATTGATTCCATGGGAAAATGTGATTTATAATACATATAAAGTACAATATTTATAAGGAAGACTGAATATATAGAGCAAGGAAATCAATATGAAACACAAAGACTGGTCTTGTGCTTAAATGCTTTAATTCATCCACTAATGTGATTTGCTTATTTAAAAAAATATTTTGAATGCTATTATGTTCCCAGCCACTGTTTTGGGTGCTTTGGATACACCAGCATCCCAAACATGTAAAGATGATTTCCCTCACAGACCTAGCAGAAGGAGGCAGGTAATAAATAGTAAACATAATAGATATAAGTCTGTGGTTTGATGGAAAGTGGTCAGTGCTATGGAAAGGGAAAGAAGGAGCAGTGATGAAGGTGGTGGGAGGGACACGGTTGCCGTTTTCATTACGGGAGTCAGGAAGGTCTTAGCTAGGAAGATGATTCTATGATCAAAGGCTTCAAGGAGGTAAGGAAGAAATAATACCTCCATTATTCCTCCCTAAAGAACTTCAAGAGTGACACACAAATACACAGGCCAGGATATTTAGGGAGTAAAACTAAGGGTCTTCCAGAAGAGCCATGGGGCTAAACTAATTGACGTTGGGAATATAGTTAAATTAGATTCTTAAAGGTCAGACTCCAAGATGCAGCTGATTATAACACAGGGACAGAGACATAGTGTGTCATCAAGTAAGAAAAAGAAGTGTCAGCTTAGATTCCTGTTTACTTCTATGGCCCTTCCACTATAATTAAAGGTCTTGTAGAAGGAAATGTTTTGTTTTGTTTTGTTTTGTTTCCCACACCTAAAACGTATCAAGTGTTTGAAATATATGTATGTGTGTCATCAAAATAGGTTAGCTGAACTGACCAATGGTACTAAGCCAAGGTCTAGAATATTGTGAAAGAGAGAAAGGATAAGGAAAGAAGTACAATTTAGGCTCATAAGCATATATATAAAAAATATAAAAAATCATGAAGGGCTCTCAATTATCTGCCATTTTATATTCTTAGAATGTAATTAAAGGGAAGAATTACATAGTACTTATTATACAATGGACATGTTAAAGTAATAGTTCCTTCCACCTACAAATGAAAAGAGAAAAAGAAAAAGAATTTACCAACTCATTCTCAGTGACAAAGCAGGTATTCTCAAATAAGGACTCCTGAAAAGTACTAAATATTTTTGAACCTGTGCTATTTTTTAGACTAAGACCATTATGTGTGCTTTAGGGGATTCTGACAAAATATGATTTATGTTTCAAGAAATGACATCACTTATGCATCATTTTTTGTGTTCAAAAATGAACATGTTATCAGTGTTTTGTTTTAAAAAAATAACTTTAGTGTCCAAATCACTGAAGAAAAATAGACATTTAACAGAGAGATCGTATTTAAAGAATGCTTTTTGGAAGAGAAGAATCCTAACCAATATGTAAGATTACCTGAAATCTGAAATCTCTTACAATTTTACTAGGGTAATCATATTTTTAAATGTGATTTTTTTTTTAAGATCTTATTTTTTTATTTGACAGAGATCACAAGTAGGCAGAGAGGCAGTGGGGGGAAGGAAGCGGGGGGTGGGGAAGTGGGCTCTCTGCTGAGCAGAGAGCCCGATTCCAGGACCCTGGGGTCATGACTGGAGCCTAAGGCAGAGGCTTTAACCCACTGAGCCACTCAGGCACCCCTAATGTGATTTCTTTATTTGATAGTTCACGTACTGGGAGCAGAGAACAGTAGTGGTGGCAGCAACTGTATTTTAGATATCAGAAAATTCAATCTGATCCTACCTATGGATGAGTTAACCTAAAAGCAATGAGTCATAACTACTGAATATTGAAAGAACACTTAATGAAGGAAATAAACACAGTGCATCAAGGTCAAAATCCTAATCACAATTTTTGCCGACTCAGAAAGATTTTAACAAATATTGCGCCCCCCAGTGGTTGTTTTTGAGGTTTTTGTTTTTGGTTTTGTTTTGTTTTTTGTTTTTTAACCCGGGCTCCCAGTTTTCCAGGTTCATTATTTTGGGTAACCTCATGAAACTTAACGCCGCCTATTAACTAGGAGGAAACTGGAGAGGACAGCTCAGTTTGACTGCCCGATTTCCTGCTTCCAGAAAGAACGGTGCCAGGGATGATAGAGTACCTAGTATATGATGATTAAGTTCAGGCTCAACAAGATAGGATCACAAAAGGGCCATCATGCTCAATTCGTCTGATTGCCTAGCTGGAAATGAAAGAAGAGCAGTGACATAATTACCCCAGATTCTTCCGGCTTCTGATGCAGTGCAGCACAGATACTAAGCAAAGCTAGTCTCAGAATTATTGGAACATATTATAAAGATGAAGTTCCCTGCTTTAACAAATAAAGGAAGGCTCACAAAAATCAAAGACAAAGGAAAGTTTTGCTTGCACACAGAGCAGGAGGAGCACAGAAAGAAAATCACTTGGTGAAAGAAGAAAAGCAGGGCACCTAAGTGAAGAAACAGGGTGGTGTGTCTGCTGGATCTCCAGCCCACTTTGTGACCTTGGCCAGATTCCCTGGGCCTCAGCTTTCTCACCTTTGGCACAAAGAGTGTGGACTCGGCTGAGTGGTGTCCCTGAATCCGGGATATGGACAGAGGCAAGGAGAAGTAGGAACCATCTCATACAAAAGAACCATAATTTGAATATTTATAAAGGCAAAATTAGCTCGTGATCAAAAAGTGGAGAAGAAAGGCGGCTAATGGAGAATGTAAATTCATCTTAATGCGTTCAAAAGAGCGTAAAACTGATAGACACAGTTCTTTCCAGAAGGCAAAAAAGGAAGCATGTCACTGTACATTTCCTCCACTGGAGTCTCCTTCCCTTTTCTCTATCATCACCTTATTTTTCTCAGTACTTTCTGTTTCCGGTAACCATGGTGATGCTCCTTCCCAGCAACCTTCTTCACACCAGGCCCTTTTGGTATACATACATTGAATTTTGCTCCATTCACTGATGCAGGAAGCTAACAATGCTGTAAAAATTTATTTATTTATTAACATTTTCCCCAGCCCTTCTGTCTGGGCAATAAATTCAGGGAATTATTCCACATTTAACTTCCCTACAGAAGGGGCACTGTGAAACAGGGATATTCAACTGTTAATTTCAGTTGCTAACATAAAGGGGGTACTGATTATGCTAGATTCAATTCCCTGCTCTGGCCCTCAGGGACTGTAAGGTCTCCCAGTACCCAAACTCATTGCTACCTCCTTTTGCTTCTGTCTGTAAACAGAATAAAATAGATTTTCCTCAGAAATCACACGTCAGCCCTGATTTCCTAATCCTCTTTGTTTTTTGCTGCGTTCTCCCTTGTAAGGGAAGCATTGCCAAGTGTGTAATTATCACAGTTACAAGGGGATTGAATTTTCCCTAAGAAAATCCAAATAAATATATGCATTTTTCTATTGGGCACAGTTATTTTGGAATATAAGTAAATAATAAGTAAACAAACAATCTTGGATATTAAGTCTTTAAAATATCATCATGAGCAGCCAGTGACAGAACATCAGACGATCTGTGATGTCATTAATGTAGATAATAAATATTCTCATAAACTACCGTTTATCATGTCCAGTTTGTGCAGCCAGATTTATTTGTAATCCTATATTATGCAGGAAACTCTCTATTTAAGCACTGTGTGCATGCGTGCGTGTGTGTGTGTGTGTGTGTGTGTGTGTGTGTGTCTGGCATTAACACAAAGGAGACCAGATGATGACATTCATAGGCTTATAGACTCGACTCCTGGGGACACACTTGGATGGAGGCAATTAAAATGCCTGTCAGGAATTTGGTACCAGAAGCCCCTATGGTAAACCGCTAAATCATAAGCCAGGGCTGCATCTTATTGTCAGTGAATGATGGCGGAACTGGGTGGCTTGTCATCATTCTCGAAAATTCTGAGGCTAGTGAGCTCTCTCTCCCTCTCCCACTCGCCTTATTTTCCTTTTCACCACTGCGGGGACTTTTTCTAATTTGCAGCTTCCCTTTCCCCGACACACACAGAGAGGAGCTGGTGGTTTGCAGACTGCGTCTGTCTGGAGCTAGAGAGCTAGACCCAGCCCGTGGAGATAATGCTTGGGGAGAAGGATTCTGCAGCAATCCTCAGAGGCTAGACTTGGGTGGTATCGCTGCATAGGCACTGGTAATGTTTCGGCGTTTTTTAAATTTTATTTCATTTTATTTTTAATCCATTTTTCAGAGGATTTGCTTTATGTGATCTCAAAGTGAAATGCTTTAGAATTCATTACCGAGCTTCCTGAAAATTCAAGTGCTGTGTTATTTGTACTACAGATCTCAAGGCATAGATTTATTATTGGAACTATAAAGAATGCATTTGCTTACTGGTGAGTTACGATTTCCAATATTTTGTTAATAAATCTGTATATGTATTTTTTTTTCTTTTGTTTTGTTTCAGTAGACTCCTCACCTTGTTGTCTCTCACCGAAGAAACATTGATTGGGAGCTACTCATTCAGAAAATTAAAAGGTACCACATGTTTTGTTTGGAGGTTTAAATGAGGGGAAATCAGGGAGGATTTGGAATGTTTTTATTTAAATTAATCTCTCTATGGTTGGTCTTTGATCCTTAAGCCTACGTTTGGTCATTGTCTATAGCATGTATGATTTCTCATGCAGAGAATGCCATTATCCAAAGCTGTTTCGATTATAAGATGTCTAAGGAATTATATCTTTTGCCTGGGTTGCAAGTTGTGAACAAACATTGCTATGTCTGGTTTATTTTTGAATTTTTATTACTGTAGCAGCTAAAAAAAAAAAATGTCCAAAATTCTCTATCTTAATGGAAATTCAGTCATTTAAATTTAAGAGAAATATACTAAAGTCGTGATTTTATCTGAGGGAATCTTTCTAATAAGAGTTATTTTTAAGTGGGTAAATGAAACGGCTTGCCCTTCCCAGGTAGAAGGAGCACTAGAAATGAGAGCCTAGGAATGACTCAGTATTGTTGGGTTTTGTGAATAAAATATTGTAACTTCTTCACTGATGCTTTAGTCTTTAGCACCATATTTAAAGGCTGAGGTTGTTAATTATTAAAAAACTGATTTTATATATGCTTTATTGGCATAAGAAAGTAATCCTTCTTGCCGTGGGAGCAGTTGAATCCATTGATCCTGGGCCTTCTGCCTTACATGAAAAATATTAATTTTCAAATTCATTATCAGGATGTGTATTGATTAGAGATGGCAGTGATGGGTATTACCTTTTGTTTAATTCTTTAAGATTATCTTTATTTTCAATATATAATCATGTCAATAAAAGCTGTATTTGTAATTTGCCTTAAAAAAATGGAAGACATTTTCTGCCTCACTGAGGAGATCAATAGCATCTTCTAAATCTTTCTTTGGCATTCACATAGCATTTCCTTTCAAGCTTACTAACCCAAAATATTTTATGCAGTGAGGTTAGTTTTTTTTTTTTTTTTAAATGTACTTTGGAAATAGTTAATGTTCAACAACTGATCCTGAAATACCAGAAGTCTGTGAGTGTGCACCTGTGAGTGTGAATATATGTAGCAGTTGAAGGAGACGAATGCATTGTCCTTGTTTAATTCTCTCTGCAGTGTGTAATTATGAGAACCTTAATTTATTCATTCCACAGGCACTTCCTAAGAGCCTTGCTGCTGTTGGTAGTTATTGTGGGAGAGAGGGAAGGGGCAGATGCCACTGTCACCACCCTTCCAGAGTGTAGGCAGTACCACATAATATTTTTGCACAAGAGAAGGAATTCATTAAAATAAATCAGTATGCTCTAAAAAGGGAAACTGCTTTTATTTCAGATATTGAACAAAATTGAATAGACTAGTCTCAGAGAAACTTGAAATATATTGCATTTTTTTCCCTTAGAAATTACTCAGTGGAATCAGGTCTAAAATCCCCAGACAGGACTTACTATTCCTCCTGGATACTGTAAAACACTTGGGACTATCCCCTCCTTTAGTTTCCACTCAGAGTAGATGAATACATTTCATATTTGGTGAAAAAAAATCTATTTGGTATTTTCCCATCTAACAGAATCCACACAGTATATATTTTATGTGAGAAGCTGTTTTCTAATCCTCAGGCTCATTTAGCAACTCATTATATTAATTTAGAATATTGGGATATTTATATGAATTGGAAAACGATGATTTTATTATCTAACCACTAAAAAAATGTATTCAATGTTTTGTTAATAGGAACTAATCAGCTCTGTTAGGATTCATCTGGGTACTGGAGAAATGGCATATTACCTCACCAAAAGTCTCTTGGTACCTAAATTTTCTAGGCTCATTTTAAATTTATCTAGGGATGTGTTGACAGATTTTGTGTAATAAAACATAATTTATTGAAATAGACTATTATGGCATCAAATCAGAATTGAATTTGACTTTTGGACTGTGAGTGAGTCAGGGATCTTATCACAGTTTTTGCTAATCAATCTCATTTTGACATTGGTTAATTATTTCATTGATTTTTCACCCATATCTTCAGCACATAAAGTAGTATCTGGGCACAGTAGGAGTTGAACAAATATTTGCTTAATTATTTGATGGGTAAATGATTCATCATCATTTTCCCCCCATTACTTTTTTGTTCTTGTTTTTCATGAGATTGCACACTGTAAAACAGACATTTGGTACCTTTTTTCTCTAGCTATCCCAAATATTCATTATATGTCTTTAATTAATAATAATTAATTAGATAATTAATACCAGGTAGAAAATCAGGCGAACCGTGTGTGAAAATTTCTCCAAGCTATACAGAAAAGGTTTTTTTCAGTTTTAAGTTAAGATGGAAAGAATTTTTGAAGTGTCCCTTCTCACTTTCATCAGCAAGGGAAAGAAGCCAAAGTGCAGCATGAGTTCTGCTTTATGGATGCTTCCGAAATACTACTCCCAGGCTTGACATTGTTTATTGCTTTTCATATCTTCAGCCAAGATTTTGCTGCAGCAGAGGGGAGGAGGCCTTCTCTCTCTCTCCGTCTTTCTCTCTCTCTCTCTCCCTCCCTCTCTCTCTTTCTTTAATACTAGAAATGATGTCATAGTCTTCTTAAATGCTTTGTTGCTCATTATGGCTAGTATGACATCATTTAATAATGTATAAGGAAACTGCTAGAGTCATAATAGTTTTAGAGAATGCTTTTTTTCTTGTTGCCATTTATTTTTATTAATACAACTATAATTTTTTTTTATTATTCACTATGTGCTAGATAATATCCTAAGCCCTTAACATATGTTATCTCATTTTAACTCTCTCTACAATCCTGGGAGGTGGGTATGGTCTCCATTTCATAGATGAATGAATGGAGATTCCAACTGGGCAGTCGACACAAGTCTGGTCCAAAGTCCTTCAATATTAACCACAACATATTACATTCTTTTCCTAGTAGATTTTTTTTTTTTTGGCTCATAGCCATTGCTTTAATATTTTATTTATGCACATGGTGTATACTGAAATAAGACAAAAACAGTATGCCTGCAGACACTTGTTTTTATACATTTTTAAATTAGGAGTAAATATATTCTCAAATGTGTAACATAATATTCAAACTCTGATATATTTTATATTTTTAATATGTATTTTATATTTTATATTTAAGCTGAAGAATTTTATTTTTTTTAAAGAACTTAATTTTTTTTAAGGAGGAATATCAGAGACAAATTAGGAAGTTTTAAAATAAATTAATTCATAAAGTGCTCCTGTGTCATTATGATGAAGATGTATAAGAAATTGCATGATCTATATAAGAAATTTAGCCAGAGAATTCATTACTAAATAGCATAAATCTATGCCCTATTTTGCAACTTTTTTTTTAAACTGAAATAATAGCAGAAGTTTCAAATGACCAAAAAGAAAGAAACTAGCAGGGAACAGTATGCCATGTGCATACTCTGGAGTGTGCAGATACCACATTCAAACTTAAATACAACTAACTGAGCCACAAACATAACTGAGGGCACTAACAATGACACAAATGGGTGTTAAGATGCTCTACTTGCAAAAGCGTATATAGAACAGAACACTTTGGGAGCTCAGTTGGGTGTAGCAGAACAAAACAAAGAAGTAGCCTTAAGGTACACTGGTATCATAAGAGACATACGAATAATTTCTTAAGGGACTTCATTGCAGACCAGGATTACTAACAATTGAGAAGAGACTCAACAGGCAATATTTCATGGAGGATGCGTCTTTTGAGGAGGAGGTTAGAGATGAAAAGAAGTATTTAAGGGAGAGATAATGCACAGACGAGCTCCAGGAAGAACGAACATTAGCAAAGAGGCCAAAGAAAGTGAACATGCATGGAAAGTATAGACTGACCTCATTTATATTCTAGAGCGCAGGCCAGAAGAAGGGGGGGTTCTTGGAAGGTAAGGATGGAAATAGTATTCAGTCATATCCTATGAAATGGTTAGTATTCTACACTTTTTGAACTACAAAATAAGAATTCATTCAGTTCAACCCAATACATGAGAAAGGGGACCTTAAATGCTAACTTGAAATGGTTCAGCATTGGATGAGAAACTACGGGGTATATTTTGAATAGCGGACCACTCTGACCTAAACTGTATTTTCAGGTGACTTACTTTATAGCGCTGTGTGAGATGGAATTATGGGTGAGAGTATGTTGAAGCAGACATCACTTTGGAAGCTCTAATAGGATATTCCAGGAAACAATAAAGGCTCAAAGAGGGTGTTGACAGTGGGCATAAAAGAAGGGGTCATGAAAATGAAAGATGTTTCTGAGCTCAAAATCATAAGCAGGACTGAGTCCTGTTTTTCATTCCTCTAACCAATCAGTCCCTAAATATAGCAACTGATTGGTTGGAGGAATGAAAAACAGGACTCAGTGCTGACTCTAATGTTTCACTTTGATAACTGGAACAATGAGGGGAGAAAGGTGGCTAAAAGCTGCTTGAAGAAAGAGGCTGTCTTTAATTTGTCTTCACCCTAGTCTCTTGCAGACTGCCTAGTACATAGTGGACAGCCAATAAGTGCTGACCAAATGAGGAAGGGAATAAAAAGTCAAGAGGCAGGTTTAGGCTACAATAGGCTGGTTCTGGAGGCAGACTGGTCTGGTAGCTGGCAGATCACCTTGGGCTAACACTAAGAAGAGAATCAAGGGAGAGAGGACGTGGATGACATTTTCACAAGGGAAGAGAAGAGGGCCAAGAGAGAACACTCTTGACAGGACCCACATTTAAGATGTAGAATAAGGGACAGGAATTGACAAAGTTAAAGGAAGAACTATTTTTTTTTTTTTAAGCAAAGAACAAAGAGGATAGGTGAAGTAATAGAAAATAAGGCTACAATTCAAATTCTGCAGAGAAGTTGAAGAATGAGAATACAAGACTGCTCAAAATATTATTGACTTCAGTGGTGTTTTCTGTTATAAAAACAATAAATCCACATTTTGTAAAATCTGTCAAATTTAGAAGAGTGCAAAGGAAGGAAATAATAGCCATCCATAATTAAACAAGCTAGGGACTATGGTTAACACTCTCCCTGTTTAGCTTCCTTCCTTCCATCTATTGCATTTAAATTTACATACTGGGAGCAAAACAATACAATTTGAATTCTGCCTTTTTTTTTTTTTTCCACTCAGAGTATCTTAAACATCTCAAAATATTTTTCCACCTGTGTAATATTATTTTATGAAGACGTTGGGTGTGTTTCTTTCCTCTTGCTTCCCAATTTTTTAATATCATCTTCATGCTGTAATGGGATGGAGTATTTTACTCTCACATGACATTTCACATTATTTCCAAGGGCTCTTTCCTAACAAGAGAACCACTGTATTTTATATTGCCAAAAAAATTTGATGGTTTCTTTTTAAAAAATGTTTTTAAAGATTTTATTTATTTATTTATTTGATTTTATTTATTTTGATTTTATTTATTTATTTGACAGAGAGAGCGTGCACGCAGAACAGTAGGCAGAGAGAGAGGGAGAAGAAGGCTCTCCGCTGAGCAGGGAGCCTGATGCGGGGCTCGATCCCAGGTCCCTGAGATCTTGACTTGAGGTGAAGGTGCTGCTTAACTGACTGAGCCACCCAGGCACCCCAATTTGATGGTTTCAAAATTAGCCTCACCTTTCCTCCAGCTAAGGGAATCTGGGATGATGTTAGCATCTGCTGTGTGCCAGCCTCTGTGACAGGGATTTTAATTATCATGATGACTCTGTAGGTTCTGTTATCTCCACTTCAATGGAGGGACAGAGACTGAGACAGTTCCCCAAGTTTCAGGGCTAGTTTTGCATCAGGTCTGACTCGAAACCAGTTCAACTGTGGCGACAGAAGCAAATTCTTAAGAAGTGAATGAGTCAATACAAAAGCAATAGGAAAACACATTTCAGAGGTCTAGGATTCGGTGCCACACAGGAGGACTTTACTGTTAGTAACCTGGGAAGTCCTAACCTGAAGGGAGGACGCATATAGAGATGGGGTGTTAGGTATGTAAACAGAAGAAGAACAATATTATAGAAAAGTTCCTGAATGGAAGGAGACAATGCAGACAAAGATTTAGGCTTAGCAAACAAAATACATCTTCCCTATAGACAAAAGTAAAAGAAAAGAGAGTGAGAGTTTTCTAGGGATAAAGAAAAGATATGGGCAGGTGGGGGGTAGGGGGGCTACTTATCATCTGGACTTCATCTCAGACTAGAGAAAATCCACTTATTCATTCAGTGACCATTTATTGAACACCAATTCCATACCCTTTTCCTGCCCTAATGGAACTTTATTTCTGTGGGTGAACAAATAAAATTAAGAGATTACTCAGGTAGCTGTGCAGAGAATGGATAATAAGGTGGTAAAAGTAGACCCTGAGAGATCAGCTCCTCAGACTTTAAGGCAGAGATGAATCAACTGGGGATCCCATTAAAATGCAGATTCAGAATCATTCGGTGTGAGGAAGGGGCCTGAGAGCGTCCATTTTAACAAGCTCCTAGGTAATGTTGATACTGCTAGACTATGTGCTGTGCCTTCATCAGCAAGACGTTAGGAGGCAAGAAAAATCACAAAGGATGAGATCGGGCGCGTTCAGGGTCAGGGCACCTGGGTGGCTCAGTGGGTTAAGCCTCTGCCTTTGGCTCAGGTCATGATCTCAGGGTCCTGGGATCAAGCCCCGCATCGGGCTTTCTGCTCAGCGGGGAGCCTGCTTCCCCTCTCTCTCTCCGCCTGCCTCTCTACCTACTTGTCATCTTACTCTCTGTCAGGTAAATAAAATCTTAAAAAAAAATTATAAAAAAAAAATCAGAAAGGATTAGAGTAGTCATTATGAACAAGTCAAATGGAAACCTTCTTTCCATGCGGCGACACTGCATGATTTCGCACGTCTTTGATGCTGAGAGAGAATTGTCTCTTTCTTTCTGACCTTTTTCTATTCCACCCAGTTGTTTTATGAAAGATCCATTAAACAAGCCCTAATGAGCTACTGGCATTTCAATCTTTCTGCCTATGCTCCATGTTTCTTATGCCGTAGAGTGAATTCTCGTGGCTCAGATTTGGGGGTGTGTTTCCATATTACACTCTGCCAGTTTCTTAACTGCAGCTCTGTTTCCCTGCTTCGTGATTTCTTTGAACTTCTAACCTCCTCTCTGCCTGGGTGTTCAGCACAGTGCCAGCCTGCTACGTTCTTTGCCCCCCACCCCCAACACTTGACATTCCTTCTGTCCTGCTGTGCTTAGTGACAAAGCTTCTGGGTGACTACATCTCATCCTGCCACCCACCTCCTCATACAAGCCTACTTCAAGGGGACTCTACTTCAAGCCACAGGGGACTCCTGAGTATTGATGATAGTCTCTGATTTAAGGAATACATTTTTTTCCAACAAAATCATTTCTCTTTGGTGGAATGTTTTGGTTGGTGGCAACAACCTGCATTCCTCTGAGAAAAGAATGTGTGTGTTTGCAGATGATTAGAGCGTTCAAAGGGGCTCAGGGTTCACAAGAAGCCTTGACAGACTGGAGGGATGTTATTTTTCTGCCTCCATCACGAGGCTCTTAGTCCTCTGTAGATGCAAGAACTTACAAGTATCTACCTGTTTGAGTCCTCCCACATCACACCTTACAACTATAGAATATCTAAGAAAATAAGCAATCAAATAAATATGGCATACACATCCATCAGGGAAACACCTTAACTGCACATCAAACATTTGTGATGTTCTCACACTTATTAGCATGTCTCCTTTGTTTAAAGGGCTGCTTCTATCTAGATAGAAGCCATGCCCATGACCAGATCTGTGGTCTTTGTCACCGTAATTTTGTCATTTGGTGTTTACTTAAACAGCCAAGTAAATGTGAGCAGTGTCATGACAAACTTTGAATTTAAAATTCCAGTGAAATACTAGCTTTCATATGAACAGATGTCAACTTAAATTGATAACGATATTTCCTCAAGGAGAACACTCAGGAAAGCACTTGAGGAAAGAAGTCAGGTCACGGGCGTCTTTGCATTCACTATGCTGTCTGCTTAGAAATGCCCTTGATGCATGTGCCACACTGAAGCTAAGAAAATGAGTGTTGTACAAGGGGGTGTGTATATGTGTGCGACTGTAGCCTTTCTTAGGTGGACAGCACTGGTCTTTGCCTAGTCAAACTGGAATTGGTAAAATAGCCAGAACTCAAATACCATGCCTATGCTTTTTTTGACATTTATTCATTAGTTTAGAGTCTCAGAGTAGCACAGGCCAACCTATGGTCTTCCTAAAAAATTCTCCTTTTCTCTCTCAAAAAAAAAAAAAAAAAAGTTTGAATCAATTCCCTTTTTTTTTTGTGGATTCAATTTGGGTCTGCCTCAGATGGTTCCAATTAACCTTCCATCAGATTCTCTCCTAGTGTTAATGACTTTGGATTATGACTATTTAAAGCTGCCGGATGTTCACTGATGCACATCTGGCAATTGTTAAAACAAAGCTACTCTATTTAACACTTAAAACCAAAATATATTTCTTTACAATGAATAGGAACTTAAGGGATGATGTTTCTTTTCAGGGAAATCTTATGTTTTATTTCCAATGTGAACAATGTTTCTATTTTGTGTCCTTTAAAAGTATCTTCTTGCTCATTGTAGGATTTTTCTCCTGGTGAAATTTACCTGTAGGATATACAGAATAAGATACAACACATAGGCATTAAGGATTCTCTCAGTGCCTAAGAGTAGCTAATTAGCATGATTTTGAGCATAGCTTCAGGTGAATCTGTGATTTTTGTCAAATCTTAAAAACAAATAACTACACTGAAATACTACAGAAATCCCTAAAGTGATTGACTTTTAAGATTATATTGGTAGTGGAGGAAATATGACATCCAACAATGAAAAAATTTTAAAACGATATAAGAACTCATCATCCTGAGTGAGCCAAATAACTGGTCAGACTGCTATACATTTCCTCTAAAAGATGGTGGATACTTCCATAGGTCAAAGGGAAGTAATAAATGTAATATCTAGTTTATTGTGTGCATGCATTTTTAGTTGTTTCTTATGTTATGCTCACAAAAAGTCTAAGATATCAACTTTGGTTTATAAAATTACAGAAATAATCCAACCAATGAAGAAGTAGCATTTAGACTTTAAGAAAAAAATAATTTCTGTTCCACTTTTTAACTCATATAAAGCATATGACCTCCCAAAGCACACAGCAATCTCTGGAATGGGAATGGCAGATCTTGTTGTTATATTTATTACAGATGAGAAAACTGAAGTTTGAAGAATGCAAATGACCTACCCAAGTCCCTCTACTAGGAAACGGTAAATCTTTGGCTCATATCCTTGTTCTGACTCTAAAGCTTTTACTTTCTACTAATATGCAGCCAAAGCAGGTAAATGAGTGTATTGTCCCAAATATGGAGTATTTTAATAATGCACTGAGTTGGTTGCTGAAATAAAGAACACATTCCAGGGAAGCCCTGGCCTGTGCTATTGCTCTGCTCTCCCAAAAGACTCTTGCCTTTAGAGTCCTGAATCAGTGTGGCATGGAGCTCAGAAAATACTAATAAAAATAGCAGTTGTTCTTAAAATGGCTTTATACTTTTCACAGAAAACATATCACAGAAAATGTAACCTTAATGATTTAAAAAGCAGTTGACAGAGAGATAGATTAAGAAGAATCCATTGTTTTAAGTTTCACAGCATTTTAAGCAAGTGATAGATAATACAGCAAGAATCCAGGATCACAAAGAAAATGATTACAGCTTCAGAAAAGCATATCTATGGAGCATCTTTGATTTGCCTATTTTTAGGATAATTATAAGAGCTTATAAAGAAAAAGCTGGAAGCTATAGATCCCAGTTCTGATCTCAGCTATACAAAAGGAAGGGTAACATACGTAAAGAAGGGGCGCCTGGGTGGCTCAGTGGGTTAAGCCTCTGCCTTTGGCTCAGGCCATGATCTCAGAATCCTGGGATCGAGCCCCGCATCGGGCTCTCTGCTCAGCATGGAGCCTGCTTACTCCTCTCTCTGCCTACTTGTGATCTCTGTCTTTCAAATAAATAAATAAAATATTTTTAAAAATATATGTAAAGAAAATTATAACTTTGGAAACCAATGAGTAGAGTTAGGGTTGAGATTAGATGTTTCCAGGCAGACAGCAATTGGCATAGGTCCACTGAGGACATTGTCATTGCAGTGACCTATCTCCTCCCCAAACTCTCCATTCCATTATCTTCATCCAGGCTCTCATTATAGCTGCCAGGGTTGCTGAAATGCTTTTATCTTGTCTTCCTACCCCAAACGCCATCACCGCATTAATCTCCTAGACAAACAGTTAATACAAACTCTTCTTTGGCTCTTGTTTGCTCTCTCGAGTTGTGCTGGCCAATAAATATGGAGGCAGCTAGTCACATGCAGCTATTTAAATCTAAATTAATTATAATGAAAATAATTGAAATTATACCTCCTTAAGCATACTAACCAAACTTCAGGTGCTCCATAGCCACATTATTTTTATAGAAACATTACCCATTACAGTCTACGTCCATTATGATATGATTTTCATTGGAGAGGGCTGATCCAGAGCATAACTACACCCCTCACCCAAGCACCCAAGGCCTGCACTGACCTCTCCTTATCCCTGACTACCCTTGGCACACACTCTCCACTCCATATATTTTTCTCCTCCTCTTCCTCATCACCATTACTACCTTTGTAATTAAAATATTAATAACCCTTATTTATTTAGTTCATATCATGTGCTAAGTACATACATTTTCAGAAGAAGAAGGGGGGGAGAAGAAGAAAAAGAATTCTATAGAGTGGTTTTTTTTTTTTTTAAATCTCCACTTCACAGAAGAGGTTTAATGAAGCTAAGTATATTTCCCAAAGATAAAGAGGTTATTATTAGTGGAGCTCAGACAAAAGCCCAGGCTATCTGGCCCCATAGCCATAGCGTTTTACCCTGTACCAATGATTCCTAACCAGGGACAATCTGCCCCTTTTGCCAGGAGTCATTTGGAAGTGACTGTTTGAAATTATATCTTTTTAACTCGGAGAAACTTTCCTCTGCGTTCTTTTTCTTGTTATCCCTGCCTCTGTTCTATATTTAGGAGATTCCTATTGATAAATGTTGGACTTACTGGACTGGTCTGTTTTAGCTCCTTTTTGACAAATTTTTAAAATCCCTTTTTCACTTTTTCTACATTCAGGTTTTTTCCTCTTATCAGCTGAATTATTATTTGCCTCTAGCCCTGCCAATTCTATTTTTAATTAATTCATGAACTACTTATTTGAGAAATCATATATTAATTTTCAGGAATGTTTTCTTATCCTCTAATCAATACTTTTCTAAAATTCAGTTTTGGAAGGTAGTTCATTTTAAAGTATGCGATATTCTTTAAAATCTCTCTGAGAAGGATAATTGTAAATTGCCTTGTCCCTTGAATGATCTCTATTTCCTCAGGAGCCATTTTTCTTTTTAAAGATTTTATTTATTTATTTGACAGAGATCACAAGTAGGCAGAGAGGCAGGCAGAGAGTGGGGGGCAGAAATAGGCTCCCTGCTGAGCAGAGAGCCTATTTGGGGCTCCATCCCAGGACCCTGGGATCATGACCTGAGTAGAAGGCAGAGGTTTTAACCCACTGAGCCACCCAGGCGCCCCCTCAGGAGTCCTTTTTTAAAGAATATATTTTTCTTGTTCATGTTGCTGGTTTTTTCTCAGATGTCTTGATTTGAGGGTTTGGGGGGTTATTTTTATGTATGAATAACTAGGCTGAGGATGATAGGTAGGTGCTGTATGTTTCCTCTGCAATCAGGCAGATCTGCACCTCCACGAACCGTGAGCTGCCTACAGGTTCTGGGTAAGTGGGCAGAGTCTGTCAGGAAGCAGGTGTCCCAAGAGGAGCACGGAGATACAACTGGCAAGGGAGCAGGTTAGGATCCCTATGATTGTTTCAGTTCTATAAATCTATAGATTTATCTATACTAGACATGGTTCCCAAACTAAACACTTTCTTTCATTAAAGCCTAGTTTTTATTTTCACCGTTGGGGGCAAAAGCTTCTCTTGTCACTAAAAATGTAGCAAGGGAGAAGAAGAATAGAAAGGGTCCCAATTGTTCTGAATATGTTTCTTTTTATTTTTTTAAGACTTTTAAAATGTATTTATTTTAGAGAGAATGTGTGTGAGCAGGAGGAAGGGACAGAGGGAGAGGGAGAGAGAGAATCTCAAGCAGATTTCTATGAGCTCGGAGCAGATGTGAGCTGGATCCCAGGATCCGGAGATAATGACCTGAGCTGAAATCAAGAGTCAGATGCTTAACTGACTGAGCCACCCAGGTACCCCGTGAATACATTTCTTCATGAATTACTATGATAGTCTCACAGCCTCCTTGGACCCTGTATTTGAAAACTCTAAGCTTGGGGTCTCTCCAGGATTCCTTGCAATGGACCTCCTTTGACTTGGGGCCTCCTTGCAGCAGTTTCTTATTTCTTTCTCCCTCTATATTCTGACTTCTAGGATAGCTTTAAAATTGTTTGTTAGAGTTACATTATGTTTCAACATTTTTATTACTTTAATAATAATCAGGAGAAAGGAGAAGTGTGTGTGGTAACTCCTCCATTGTCATATGTGATATTCCTTATTATGAATTTTTATAGCATCACTCTAAGTTTATACTCTTTTACATTTATTATTCCAGTGTACTATCTTTCCTATTTACTAGCTAGTTGGAAAAATTGCTTCCCTTTCCTGGGCCTTTTGTTTTCTGTAAAATAAAGATCATATATGATTTTCAAGATTGAGATGGAACATAGGAATGCATGTTGAAAGCTGTACCATAGAATATGAATGTAAGCTCTCTCCCTCTCTCTCTTTTTTAAAGATTTTATTTATTTACTTGACACACAGAGATGACAAGTAGGCAGAGAGGCAAGCAGAGGTGGGGGTGGGGTGGGGGGAAGCAGGCTCCCCGCTGAGCAGAGAGCCCGATGCGGGGCTCGATCCCGTGACCCTGGGATCATGACCTGAGCCAAAGACAGGGGCTTTAACCCACTAAGCCACCCAGGTGCCCCAATGTAAGCTCTCTTTATATATAAAAGATTTCATCATAGGTGCAGTGTAACCAATAATGCCAATGCAGAGAATAGCCATTGTTACGAGAAAACCCTTTCCCTGTGCATTAGGAAATGCAAGTGATACCAACTTGAGACTAGAATAAAACTCACTGTGCAATGGAAAAGAACCAGAAATTATGTGTTAATAGCAATAATAAAATAAGCAGTTGTTCATGGATATATTTTACACCTAATGGAAAACCAAGGACAAAAGCAGACCAAGGATGTGGTTGACCTACTATAGCTCAATTAAAACAAATTTGAATTTTAAATTTGGAAAAGAACATATGATTTGATGTTGTGTGATCGATCCCTTTTGCTTGGAAAAATTACAAATGTGAATATTTATGATACAAATGAGTATAATTTAGTGTTGCTAATGAGCTGCTCCTGAAATATCACTGATTTAAGATGGGTTCAGTTACTTGAATGTTTTTTGCTCTGTCAGTCAAGACACGAAGCACCAGTAAAAGGAAAATAAAGAAAATGAGAATTACAGTAAAGGGGCTTAATTGTAAAAATTGAAGAAATGATAACAGAAAATTAAATGTAGAAAGAAAGTTAAGAGTCCCAGCAGCCTTTGATTTTAACCTGCTGGGAACCATTTGTGGAAAATTGATGAAAGGTGTATTTTCCCTAAATTATTATTAAACCCAGCATCTTACTGATAGCCTTTATTCTTAGAAATAAACAGAACACATGAAACACACAAAACAAAATAAATCAATGTGAATGTATGCTGAGTGATGCAGTCATGATTCACTCTCTGACTGCTATTAGTTCTCATTTTCTGCATGCAGCTATTACATTCTGAAGTTGAGTGTCTATAGAGGATAAGGCACCAGCCATAGTTAAATGTTAATGGATCCAGTGACATAATTTAAATTCAAGGCTTCATTCAAAGGAATGTGAATAAAATGCATTTGTTTGGCTTTTTATGGCCACTATTAAAAGTAAAGGAAATGAAACCATAAACAACTACATTCAAATATTGGCATAGCTGAGGCTGCTTTGTAGTAGTAGAAAGCCGTATTTGTTGTTGGGGGAGCTCTGTTTAATAACTTACCCAGTCTATCTCGATTACCACTGAGGTTAAAAAATGTACTTGGCGACTTAGACAAAATGTGGAATGCTAATTCAAAGTGAGTTCATTCCACTGTATTTTAATTTTCTGTTGCTGTAAAGGGCTAGTACAATTCATAAGTGTTCTTTTTTTCCTACTTCATCTTTAAGGCCTTAGCCCATGGTTAGTTGTACTAATTATTTTTGTCCTCGATGTTGATTATCACTTCCTTCCTCAATAATGGTAGGACCCCTGCTATTTGGAGGTTTCGTGGGCACATGGACACTCAGAATAAGATCCAGAATTCCATCCTCCCTGCCAACTAGGTAGAACCTACTTGGCTAATTTTCAGTCAATAAGATATAAACTAAAGTTGTGTGTGAAACTGACATTAACTGCCTAAAAGGAAGGAGTGCCCTCTTTATCACTCTTTTTTCCTTTCTGCTGGAATGAAGGAATTCAGGCTTGAATTTCTGCAATCATGTTGAATATGACATAACCTTGTAAAGAATTTCTGTTTTGTTGAAGCCACTGTTAATTTGGAGTTCTTCCATGATTTACAGCCTATCCTAGTCATCCTTTGTATAGCAACTTTGCAACTTATAGTTACTTTCAAAGGCTCTGGAATGTCATTTTAGCAAGTGTCATTGTTCTTTATATGAATAACATTTATATTGAAATTGTTACTTAAAGGGGTGCCTAGCTAGCTCTGTTACTAGAGCCTGCCACTCTTGATCTCAAGTTTGTGAGTTTAAGCCCCACTTTGGGTATAGAGCTTATTAAAAAAAAAAAAAAAAAAAGTTACCTAAAATATACTAGTCCAATCAGTTACCAAGTCCTCTCAGTTCTACTTCCTAGACATTTTTGTAAAACATCCAGTTCATCTGTATCCCCAAGGACCGTGTTAGTTTCCCATCCCCTCTGATCTTGACCACAGTCATAGCTGCCTGCGTCAACTCTTGATCCACCCAAGCCATTATACACATAGTCACTGGACCCATCTTTTTAAAAATACAATCTAATCATGATATTTCTGTGTTTAAAGCTATAGAATTCATAATTAAGTGAGGAATCTGGCCCTCTGGCTGACTCCCCCCCCCATCCTGGCTTTGTTACCTGCGGGCTATTACACATATTTTTATTCTCTTAGCCTGGAACACTCTTTCTACACCTCTCCCCTCCTGCTTTACTCCCACTTATTTAAGTCCTATTCATTGGTTAGGTCTGAGATTTCCCAGGCAAGCCTTCTCTCCGCCTCTGGCCTCACAGGTCTGCTCATTACACACTCCCAAAGTGCTCTGTATTTCTTACATTTGTACATATCAGTTGTATGCATGTTTCCTCTACAAGACCGACAACTCCATGACTGGGTGCCTCATTCTTAACCCGAATCCCAGAACCTGGTGAGGGGACTGGGACAGTAGGTGCTCAAATAATGATGTTGACTAACAGACGGATGGATCCTTTATTCTGTTCTCTTTCCCTAAAAAGCATATCTGATATCTCTTCCCAAGTTCCACTTAGCAAAATCCCATCCATCCTGTGGGTCATCAAAACCATGTATGTGTGCTCTCCTTTCAATTAGATATTTACTTTATTCCCACCCCTTTATTTTTTTCTTTAGAACAGTTTTAAGTTTACAACAAAATTGAAAGTACAGAGATTTCCCATCTACCCGCTTCCCCCACACATGCATAGCCCCTCCCAGGATCAGCATCAGTCATCAGAATGGCACATTTCCCACCAAAGATGAACGGTTACCATCGCAATTCACCCAAAGTCCATAGCTTACCTTAGGATGCACTCTTGGTGTTGTCCTTTCAGTGGGTTTGGCGAGGGTATGATGACATGTATCTAAGATTGCAGTACCATGTTGCCATTGCCTTTAAAATCCTCAGTGCTCCACCCCTCCATCCTCCCCCTTTCTATCACTACTTCCTTTTCTTGTAATCATATGCTAGACTTTAACTATTGTTATTTGTTAACAGAATTCTAAATTTTGGAGGAAACACATTCTAGAAAATATAAAGTCTTATAGAATTTTTTTTTTTTTTTAAGTAATAGCAGCCTCGATTTAAAAAGCTATTTCTTATAATGCCTTCATCCCAACCCAGTAGGCATTTCAGGAGGCTATGGCTATTATGCCTTTAGCAAGCAGAATGACTGGCACACTAAAGGCATGTAACAAACGCTGTTACGATATAGTGAAATAAGTACAGACTTTGAAGTTAGATACCCTTGGGTTCAAAGCTAGGCCGTGCCCCTCATCAGCTGTGAGAAACTGGGAATTTATCAAGCCTCAGTTGTATAAAACAGGAGCGACAATACCAACCTGATTATGCTTTGCAGGAGTTAACGAAGGTAATTTACAGAGTGGAAGCCCTGTAATTGGTAGCGATTATTATGACTTTCGAAGTTTTCATTTCTCCATCCTCTTCTCAATAGATAAGGCAGATGCTTGGCTCTTTCTTTATGTTGTTTGGAAGCTGAGGGATATAAATTTGATAAAGACAAAACTTAACATTAACAAAAGATAAGACCTGTAGGAGAAGTGTTGAAGGTACTATACAGTTTTGCTTATCGTGCCACTTTTCTCCTTCCTGCCCACTCTACTGCCATAGATAAGTAAATAAACAAACAGGTGAAAAGCAGCAAGGCAAAAGATGAAATTATGTTAAATCATCCAAGGTCTGCAGAAAGGCCTGGAAATTATATACGTTCTCAATTACACCACCTGAGGCCACTCTGATCTCTGGAGAGAAGCTGGCTTGGGGAGATGTTAAGAGTTCAGCTGTCTCCCCTGAGGTTTATCTGCAATGCAGATTTTTCTGAGCCTTTCCATCTATTTCAGCCTCCAGACCAACCAGCTGCTCTCAGCCCGCCCAGCTGGCTTAATAGGATTTGTCTTCTCTACAGCCTGCTTCCAGGGATGTCTGCCACCAGAACATATCCTGGATAAAAACATTTTCCCTCCCAACTTACCATCAAAATCCCTACCAATCCCCAAAGCTACAAGGGTCCATTACTGCCTGACTCCAAGAAAGGTAAATTTAGTGAGGCATTATTTTCCGCACTGCCTCTTGCTTCACACACGTTCTGTTTTTGCAAAGTTGTCAGTCCCTGTTGCAGAATAAAGAGCAGCATACCTCCTTGCAGGGCTGGTGGAGCTGGGACCCTGGGGGTGAGCTTGGAGGCAGCCGCTAGGAATTTGCAGGCTGGGCACCTCCCCCACCCCCCAATTGTTAGTGTTCAGCTATCTGATTTCATACGCTCTGCTCTTCCCTCCCGGCAGGACTCAACAAATTAGTTGAGCCAGGATTATGACCATAGCACCTTTCCTGAAGGTTAAGGTGATGCTTTCTTCATGTGCACAGATTCGTGCTCAGGTTTTTATGACTGAGCAAGCATATTGTTGAGAGGCTGATAGCTTTGATCAGCTCAGGCTGAGGTTTCTCTCACTGACAGTTGTATATTCTGCCCAGTAACTCTGTAGGGAGAGGCTTCTCATCAGTAAAAGTCAATAATCCTGACTTCAAAATTGTGAGAAACAAATGTCACATGGATTATGAAATGCTTAGCAAGATTGTCAAGTATCAAGTACTTAATGCATCTTCATTTTTAAAGACTTACATTTTGTATCTACAAATAAAAATTAGATGGTAAAACAGACTCTACTTAGTGACTTTCTACTACAATTGGGTACTTGGAGGTGGTGAATAATAGTGGCTGCTATTCCAGTTATTTTTAATTATAGTTAGTGATAAACACTACTTATAGATAGTCAATTAATCTTTTCCAGTTTTTCCTTGTTTTTCTCTTTAGTCGTAATAATGGAGGGGATTATTTTCAGAACATTTCAGGAACAAGTGTGTCATTCATTCTACATCTCACATGAAAAAAATAATTTCCTTTTAGACTTAACTTTAACCATATTTCATATTTCTGGGGAAAAAATTTTTGTATTGAGAGAAAATTTACTTATCTCTATAAGATATTTAATAATCTTTGCTATTAAAAAAAAAGGTAAATAGCTACTCCTTATTTAGAAAGAGAATGAACTCTTAATGAATTATGTTCGAAATGCAGTAGACTTGGGAGTCAATATGCTATAAAGTTGTGCTCCTGGGAGTTTTTATTTCTTCAATGTTTGTTCCCCATGTGTCGCTCATGACTTACCAAGTGTGTAAATGAGAAGACTGCTGATTGATTCTGGTTTCATCAATAATGATTCTTGAGTCTACTACAAAACAGTTCTAGGAAGGTCAAATTCCATTTAGCTGGCAATGTATTTTTCTGCCAAAGAAGACCTGTAGATAAGAAAGGATAAAGGGTATTCAGCATCTTAGTCTCCTTAAAGGAGTACTAATATTTTTAAAATAAATCTTAAAGATTTATACTTTATATCTACAAATTAAAATTAAATTGTAAAACAAGCTACTTGACAACATTTGAGGACAGAGGTGGTTTACTTGTGTGACATGCATCAAGTCTCCTAAACTTTAAGGTTCAGCTTCATGAATTCCTTTTGTCACAGACATGTGGTGTGAAAAAAATCTCTCAGACTAATTTATACAACATCTGACTCAAGCATAGAATGTGGTTGTTGTTTTTCTAAATTAGTTGTTTGGCTTTTGAATTTTATCTAGTTTAAAAAGGAAATGGACCAAAATGCCTTACCTTCAGGTCAGCTCAAGCGAGGCCCAACTATTTGCTTTTTATATTCCCTCAACATGAAGCAAATCCACTCTCAGTTAAAATGAAAAAAGTTGGCAGATGTCACTTACCATTGGGGGTAAAAATATAATTTTTTTAAAAGATTTTATTTATTTGCGAGAGAGAGAGAAAGAGAGAGAAAGCACCAATGGCACAGAGGGGCAGAAGGAGAGGGAGAAGCGGACTCCCTGCTGAGCAAGGAGCTCAGCCTGGGGCTCCTCCCAGGACTCTGAGATCATGACGGGAGCCAAAGGCAGACGCCCAACTGACTGAGCCACCAGTTGCCCCATAATTGACTTTTAAAACAAATATAAAAGCTATTAGGGTTGTTGTTTTTTTTTTTTTTTTCCTGCTCAAATACATTGAGAGAGAATTAGCAAAAGATACCAAGGGGCAGTGGGCTACTTGTTCAGTCATGAACTAAGTGTGGCTGATCATTCTTTGCATGTTCTGCTTCAGCCAGACCAAGAGCCATCATGGTTTCCCTTTGCCATCAGAAGAATTGAGCTTTCTGTCAGCTCACTGGTTCAGGATCCCAGCACTTTGAAGAGCTAGTGTAAATAGGAGGATGAAAACAAAAATAGACCCTAAATTTCTATTACTAGTATTGACAATTAATACTACTACCAATAAAAGTACACATTTGCACTGGGAATCTCTTTTCATCAGCTCATTGAACAGGAAGCAGCTCTCCTCACAACTGAGAGAGACCAAGAAGACTCAGGTTCTTATAAAAACCTTAGTGGATTTTGAGCACACCAAAACTAGACCAGATTTCCAATAAGATTTTTGTAAATGTGAAGTGCTTCCTTCGGGGCTTGGTGTTACTTCTCTAAAATCAATATTACACATTGGAAATTCTCTACCAAATTTTAAAATGGCTTCATAACTTGCCCTGTTTTCTGGATTAGGAAGCAGCCTGGCAAGACACACTCTGGTGACCAGACTCCTCTGGCAGCCCTAAGAGGGAGGCTGAAGACTCAGGCAGACATCTCATGTTCAAAAATCAATGACTTGAACGGAGTCCATGTACAACAGAAACTGTATCATCTTAAATATCCTGGGGCATTAGGGTGGCTCAGATGGTTGGGCTTCTGCCTTCCGCCCAGGTCATGATCTCCAGGTCCTGGGATCAAGACCCCTGTCAGGCTCCTGGCTCAGAGGGGAGTCTGTTTCTCCCTCTGCCTTACCCCTGCTCATGCTCTGTCTCAAATGAATAAATAAAATCTTAAAAAAAAAAAATTCTTAAGGTTTTTAAGATAAGTTGAAATATTCTTAAGTAAGTAGATCATGGGCTGTGCACAGCCATTTTTCATCTAACTCCAGCCAGGAGTCAAACTGACTTCAAGCATGAGCACAATGGTAGTTGGTTCAACAGGATTGCCTTTCCAAACAGACCTGAGGCCAAGACATGTCTGGGAAAAACAAACCCTTTAATTTATTGAAGGCTAAAGTACAATGTGGAAACTACATTATGGCATGGCTATTATGTTTTTTTCTACCTAGTATGTACCCCGTGACTGATGCCTAAGAAGACCATGACACTAATCAATAATCAGTAGAGAGAGCTTTATTGCCTCTAGTGTACCTTCATCGTTATTGTCTCATTTGATGTACAAACTTGAAAGTGGAGCTTAGCACAGTTAACAGCATGTACATGAATGATATCCTCCCTAATGATGTTCCGTTGACTTTTCGTATCTAGAAGAGAAAAACAGGCACAGAGAAAACATTTAAGGGTGTGCTTTCAAAGCTTTTCTATTTGATGGTGGGCAGTTCCTTTTGCTCAATGTTAATAGCTAAGTGGGAAGAGGGGTCACCCTCCCTCTTTCATCCCTGTTTAGCCTTTGCTCTCTCTTTGTATCCCTGTTTGTAGCCAAATACCCCAATGGCTGCAGTTTTGCACATTTTTGGCAGAATCTCAGTTTTTGAAATAAACGTAATGCTATATAAGAGGCCCTTCTTTTTAGCAATCATTCTGTTCTTTTCACCAACGGAACAACCCTCAAGTGTTGTTACTGGTTTCAGAGTTGATGTAACCATCTAAAGGATGTGTGTGCTCAGGTGGCAAAAAGATTTGAGGAAGTTTGCATAATGCCAAGGTAAAGCCACAGATGTCCTGCTTTTGCTGGACAGAGGAATGAGCAATTGCCTAGGGGAACATGTTACACATTCCAGCAAGCTGAGGGTTCTGCCTTGCTGAGCCGTGGCAGGTCCCATGGTCTGCTAGAGGATTTTGTTTTGCATGTTGTGTGCATTCACTAGTTTGCATTAATTTGCCTCTGAGATTCACTGGATCTCTTCAGCGTTAATGAGAGGTACTAAAAAGAAGGCTATAGATTAAGGTGGGGACCAAGAAAGATGAGCAGATTTTACTCTGAAAATGATTGCGTTTGTTTAGTCATAGCTTCAAGTGAGTATTCCCAGTAGATGCCAGGGTGTTCATTAAATCTGTGGCCAGTGCCCTTGAAACAAGAATGCTGTACAAATCCCTGTCTTAATCTGCCCTAATCCAGATGAGCTAATTTGGTAGTTTGGCCCTTGCATTAACTACAATGACTGTCACACAAGGGAGTTCAGTGCCCTATCTACATAATCATAAATTGTAGCAAAAAGGATTTTACTCTGGGTCTCAAGAATTTTACCAATATTCATTTTAGTGATTCATTTTTTCTCAGGTATGAACATCATAGTTAAAATAGAATTATAACTAAAAAAAAGGGAGATCTTCTTAATGTGACTCTCTCTCTTTCTCTCGGAAGCTCCTTGTAAAGGATTTCCATAAAATTGTGGTTGGTATTTTGCTGGAGTAACTTACAATGAAAGTCTGTTTTATGGAGAGCAGTTGGGATTTTTCCATATTATGCAGACAGGCAGGCCAATAACCCTGTGCATGTGAGTCTCGTTTGTGGGGAGAACACTGTTAGGTTCTTTTATTGCTTAAGTAAAGTAACAAATAATTATCTTTATGTAAAAGAAAATACTGATAATTATAATTTGCCAGGCATGTTGTATATGGAGACAGGAAAGACAAAGTGTTAGTGTCGGCAAATCCCAAAAACAATACGCTGCAGACTGAAATGAACTCCCACGTCTAATGGCCTCCCCACAGAAATCCTAAAAACTTCAGGGGCTGAACAAGACTATATAGTTATGATATATTAGGCATAATCAGAGAGATGAAGATTTTAAACATAGTCCAGAATTTCCCACTTTATTTTAGCTAGTGTAGTGGAAATATACTGAGAGAGAGAGAGAGAGAAAGAGATTGAAAGAGAAAATGCACCAGTGAATAAATACTCTCTGAAAAGAAGATATTTAGGTAGAAGTCACTAAGTCTTATAAGATACAATTTTTAAAATTCAAGATGCTAACTCTATTTGTTAGTAGTTTCTACTCAACTATTTTGGTGAGACTCAAGTCAGTATCCTAGGAAGTTCTGTATGACTTTAAGATAGCAGCTATGAAAATGGAATTATTCAAGATGAGCTCTTTTACATTCGACATGTACAAAATAGCTTCATTCTCTGACAATAATTGATATAGGAAAAGGACATTTAATATGAAACCTCCATAAACACGGATCAAATTTCATTAAAAACACAATGGAAAAAAATAGCGTGAGACAATCATTAGTTTGAAAAAAATACAATTAGACATGAGGAAATAAGTTTATTATAACCATGCATATAAATGTTTACATTCTGATTCCTCCTGTAGGCTGATTCTAAGAAAAAGCTATTGTTAACCAAGGGATAGAGGGATGTTTCAGTGGATGCTCATTTTATAAATGGTCAGTTCGATCTATGTTCATGTTATGATGAGGCGACCCAATAGGAAAGAAATTTTCCAAATTTGTAAAATGGTCTCCCTCATTTAAAATCATATATCAAGGCTTTTCTTAAAGAAATCACCCATTTACTTGATACCACCATGGAAGACCATTAGCAATAAGTTTTTCAGTCTTTCTGATTTCTGGCTTTTTCAGAAAATTGCTTAAAGACTGTTTCTAAATATATGTCCATGGGTAAAAAATACCCACGCAGAGTGGCTGGTTATGACTACACATGTTTTGTTTTCAGATTCAGTAAAGGGACAAGTTGTTCCTCTTGATATTAACATGAGAAAAAAGAAATAAGCAAATTGGTGTTAAAGTTCTAAATTGTGGACCCAATTTAATCAGAAGCCAGTTAATTAGCATCTATCTCTGATTAAGTTGGGCATATAGAGAAGCTTTTGAAAATTCTGTACAAATTCTTTCCTTTATTTTGATGATATCATTTTGAAAGCAATAAGTAATTATGATATTTGATAGTTGAGATCATGTCTATGAGTCATTTGCTTTTGTATCTATCAATGAGGCTGTCTTTCCTTTTGGGAACTAACTGCATAATTAAATTGTCATTTAAAGAAACAAAAACAGCAGAATGTTAAATGCTAACTAGTGACACATGATAAAGATTTCATATTTGTGATTTAAGAGGACTTCATTAAACTTATAGTATTAATGATACTAATTATATGATATCATATAATTGATTAATGATACTAAATTAATGATTACTAATTAATGATACTAAATATATCATTTGCTATTGTGTTCTTGTTAAATCCCAGCAGAAATATTTATTAACCTTAAATGTATTTTTAAGTTGTTTTAATGAGCAGAAAAACTAACACATCTGCCTGTTAGTATATAAACTAATGGCAAGCCCATTCAGTCACCAATACTTCTTATATTACACTGGGCATATTTAAGGTACCTTTCCAAGTAGGAGGTATTCTACTTTCAAAAAGAGCTGGGGACTGTATAAACATGGGTTACAACTTATCATTAAAACATTTTCAAAAGTTGAGGGATGTTCTGAGTATTTAATTTTTTCCCTTCTACTAAATTAAGAGATAATACTTAAATACAACTCTTCTATTGACTAAGATGAACTAGTGAAGAGAGTATATAAAATTTGATCCCAGGGTGAGTCCATACCAAACACATTTTGAAATATAATACATTATTCTGCCACCCCTTTCAGTGGTCTTCAATGTAATAACATCCTGCCTTATCCCTGTGAGTGTGCTCCATCACTAGATCCTGACCAGCCTGGTTCCTTTGACTACAGAATCCTCATTGTGAAAGTCCTAAGCTAAAAGCTTATTGCTTAAACCTATTTGTATATCTAGGTCCTATCTCCTTACTCCCCTTGCTATCCAAACTCCTTGAACATGTCCATCCCACTTACTTCCTCTTTTCTTATTTGTCCTGTTGTCTTCATAGCATTTTGCTAGATTTTTTTCTTTCACCCTTCTATTCACTGAAAACATTTTTGAGAGATCTCCTGTGCCATCTTATTTTAAAAATCAAGTGATTGCCTCCCAGCCTTTAGACTGAATGACCTCTCTTTGCTATAGCAACAGTGCTGTGGAAAGAAAACTGAAAACCTGATTTTGGTCTTGACTCTCTCCCACTACTGACTGTGAGACTTCAGATAAGTTATAAACTATGAAAAGACTGTCAGAGATTAAATACTGTGCACATGCATAAAAGATATTAGCGGCCACCCATTTCTCCTTGAAACCACTTTTTCATCTGAGTCTGCAATACTGACTTGTCTTTTTTCTCATTATTGTCTTTGCTGGCTTTTCCTCATCCTGCCACCCTCCTGTTGGTCTATCCCAAGATCCTTGTTGCACATATATTTGATCAGTTCCTCTATTTCAATTCGAGATTAATCTTCCTAAACCTCCACTGATTTATGAAACCTAAACTACCTAAAACCTCCAAGAAACCCCTGTTACTGCAGAATAAATATACGTTCTCCCAATAAGATTCCAAGCTCCCTGTCATGCCCCAACCTAAATTTCCATTTCCCCCAAATTCCCTGTGTTCCAACCACTGTTAGTTCTCATGGCCCACATCTTCTCCTGCTTCTATTCTTTTGTTTCTACTGTTGTCTCCGTTTCTTCTATTCCTCATCCTTGCTTGCCCAACTCATATATAACTATAAAGTTCATCCGAAATACTGTGCTGTCTTGAATAATTGACATTCAACATAATCTCTCATTTGATTCAGAACAGTCCCTGATTTGTACTTTGCATCTGTACTCTTACCCTATGCTTTGTGTTACAGTTAATTACCATCCCAGATAGAATGATAGAAACTCCTTGAAATTGGGGCGGGGGGGTGGTGTTTCATGCATTCTTTTTTTTTGTTTTGTTTTTTAGCAGGGTCTAAGAAGACAAGGTATTACTTAGTGTTTAATGTATAATAACCAATGAAGAAATACTCAGAATGAGTGTGCCTGGGTGGCTCAGTCTGTCTGAGCCATCTGCCTTCAGCTCAGGTCATGATCCCAGGGTCCTGAGATCCAATCCCAAATTGGGCTCCCTGCTCAGCCAGGAGTCTGCTTCTCCCTCTGCCTCTGCCCCTCCCCCCCACTTCATGGGCATGTGAGTGGGCTTGTGCACGCTTGCGCACTCTGTCTCTCTCAAATAAATAAATAAATAAATAATCTTTTTTAAAAAAAGAAATACTCAGAAATACTTAAACCTCTTGGAGAACTCAAACTTCTCAAAACAGATAATGTTTACTGAATTATTTTGATTTTAATATTGAAACCACGAATTAATATAGCCACTGAGTCATTGATATTTTTTAGTATCAGCTATACTGAGCTCACCTCACATACAAAAA